GTAAAGCGCTATCGCGCTTTACTAGTATTAGAACACTATTGTACCTTACCGTTATTTGCCATATGATTTGACTGGTCAATTTTAAGCACCTTCGGTGCTTAAATCGACCAATCAAATAGCATACAGCAAATAACTATTAATTGAAGAAAATTACATTAGTAAATAATTATTAACTTGAATAGATTTTAAATAAATTAATTAATAAATATTTTTTACATTTTTATTTAAAAAAAATTACCAATAAAGTATACTTAATAAGATAGGTTCTTCGCGCCACCTATCATAATAGTATTATATATGTAAGTATTAACAATCTATAGGGATATTTATTGCTTAATAGCTAGATATGAAGAATCACAAATAATGCCTGTATTAAAAATTCGCAGAAAATTATCGTATGATAAACAAATTTAAAGAATCTCCTGCAGATTTAGCTAGATTTTAAAATTTTGCTAATTAATGAATGGCTAAATAAATCATGAAGTTTGTTACATAATGGGCAAATCTATTATAATGAATCTCTTTTAGATTTAACTAACCATTAGGAATTGAACTAAATAACACATTTACATTAGAAACTTGTGGTATAATTGTTTATATTGTCCCAGAAGCTCATAAATAACATTATTAACTAATTCGCAAATGTAAATTACAAGCTAGTAGGAATGCGCATGATTTTTATATATACTTATAATGCCGGCAAAACAAAATAATGCTGGTAGGTTATCTAATTAAGATGCACGAATTTATTCAAATGGTAAGCATTATTGTTAGCACTATTGCTACGTATATGTTTGGTTTTTTTGGTGTGTAATTCTATATCGATATTACATTTGTTTATTATTGCAATTAAATATATTTAATACATATAAATAAACTTTATTTATTCACAAAACTTTCTTTCTGATAATTACAAATAAATATATAATACGTTCGTTTTACCCAAGCTGTTTATAATAGGGCATAAAATTTGAAACCATTTTACAAAATTGGAACAGTTCCAGGTTATAAACAACCACGAGCTAAATGTAATAATTGTGAAAGTTTATGTAATGAAAATCTTGCAAGACGCGAAGAACACTTAAAAGTTTGTGAAGAAATAGATCCAGAAATTAAACAGAAATATTTTAGTTCCGGTTCTTCTAGTTATCAACCCGTGGATTAAACCCGTAAATCAAATTAAACCTAGGTGCCGCACAAAAAAATGCGCGGTTAATCCCCGATTTTGATTGGCCAACGGCAGTGATCGACAAAACTATGGCTCGCATTATTCATAATTTTGGCCGGAATCAATTTTTTACTTTTTTAATTCCAAAAATGGGGTCCCTTAAAGCGGGGCAGATTTCATATAATGATTTACATACTGAATAAATTGTATTTTTGATATATAAATAACTTACTAACCTTAACTTTATCAAAAAGTAACTCTTAAAACATCAAAAACGTTACTTTTTTTAACCCGGCTTTAAGGGTAGGGTGTACAAATTTCCAATTTCATATAAAATAGATTGTAGATCAAACTTTGTGTAACGAATTTTATATGATATCATATGATTTACATGTA